CTGCTATCGTTATGAAATGAAGGTTGAGATCGCCAAACGTGAACGAACGAAGTGCATCGAACAGCACGTTTTGTCATATCTAACTTAGAGCTTCTATCGAGACAGGTGGAAAAAGATTTGGTTCGTAGCCCACTATAAGGGTTCTGGTGACAGTGACCAAACGACACAAAAAAAAAAGTACACACTGAGGTCGACTGCGAATGACTGGGATATTTCGGCCTTCTGATCAGTTTCGTGCATGTTCTGCAAACAAAAGCCTAACACACAAGCACGTTTGGTATTAAAAGCCATTCGACAAAGAGTCGCCGGATAGGTGACTTCTCTGCGTACATCTATATACAGTAGTATGCGCTCCCGAAAGATCGCAAGCGGAAATCTAAACGTATGCTGAGAATAGTATCAGGATAGTAAGATGACTACGATAGGAAAACTGCGTCTTTCCCGAGAGCCTTTACGGATCGCATAGGGCATGCTCTGAGCGATAGATATTGGACCACCTGCCACATTGCAGATAGTCATTCAGACAGACGAGCAGATAGTCGTTCTGTCAGATCGCTCTGGCAAGAGTTTGTATGTGATACTATGTACCCACGCATAAAGCTGTCAACTTCTATTTTGGTGCTTGTCTTTTTTTTGTTTGTCTTATAGGCTTCGTTATTCTAAGTAATCAGATGAATACCCGAGGCAGTCGTTACGCGTACAATCAGCCAGGCATTGACATGCCGGCAATGATAATAGCAGCTATAATTCTAATTGTCACATGGGTTTCGGTAATCAGCACAGACAAGTCTTCATAGCGCCGACACGGCAACAGCTAACAGAAACGAAACTATGGAAAAGTGTTTGTTGAGGTGTTTCGCTCGTATCATTAATTTGACCCCTTTACTTATACACTTTGGTGCCATACAGAAACAGTCTGTACGAACGCCTTTCTATTGCCGCAACACATCAACAGATCGGAAATGATGAGTGTCACCGTCGCTGTTGTATTACTCTGATTCCGTCAACGCCATATTCATATGTGAACGGTTCCTCTGATGGTCTCGTTCTGATCTCTTTTCAACCAGCGCTTCGATTAGTTATGGCCATCCTTCACCTCGTTCCATGCTGACTCTGTCTGTACGATTTAATTGGCAATTGCGCCTCCGCACTCGGTAACCAGCATCTGCCATCTGACCGAACAAATATGTGCTTAAAATCTGCTGATGATTGATAACCGACTAAAAACGGATTGTAACAGCCCTGCTATAAATGTATGTGCGTACTTGCCACGTGTGAATCATATATATATATATAGGCGATGTGTGATGTGTGTGGCAAGTATGGGAGCATCTGTTAAACCAGTGAATTCAAGCCGACCATTTAAGCCCTTGGGCACTTTGCACCCCCCGCCTTCTCTCTGGCTGTCGTAACACTATGTCGTGATGTGGGTGTTGCGTAACTACGAGACAACCATAGTGGTTACTGCCGGCTGCCATTGTCAAGGTTTAATAAAGTCCTTTGAGCAAATAAAATGGGGGGGGGTACTAATGTCGTTCTGACATGGCTCAGTCGTCATTCCGAATGTCACTCAACTGGTGACACAACAACGACGGCAGCATAACGTATCTCTAGAAAGAGGCAAAGCCGATTGGGATCAATAAAATTCAGATCCGGTAGAACAGCATTTCCAGATAAACGAAACAAGCCGTACCCGAAAAAAGGCCAATGTATAGCGAGCTGTAGGACTGCTTTTATCGAAATTTAATGATACAATATATAATAATACAATAGGCGACAGCAAAAGCAGAAACAATAATAGCGACAACAACAATAAACAACAACAATGAATTGAATCATTATTAAAACTAATCGAAAGTTTTTTTTTTTTCATTGTATAACATTGCCAGGAGTAGCATTTGTTTTTACTGGACGATGGTTGATGAACAGAGCCTTTGCTCGTCCTGGGAGTGAGACGATAGATGTAGATAATACTGTTAATTACAGTTAATTAGCTGATTGTTGAGTGCTTGTCTTGCCAATGATAAAATTATAGAAGGACAAGTGAACAGGACAGAGGCGTTCGGTTCAACGTGTCGCCCACAGATGTGGATTCTTATGCAGCCAACTACGAATCAACTAACAGTCTCTAAAGACACGCAAGGGAAACTTAGAGAAGTTACAATTTGAGACACTCAAATGTGGTCGCTGTTAAACGTTCAATATGTAGTCGTATTCATTCATTGTTGTTTATAGTAAACACCCCAATAATGCAAGTGAAACACATGATAAAAAAGTAGGCAGATAGACAAAAGTAGAGTCCTATTTTTTCTACAGATCGAACGTTACAGGATGTGGATGAGTTGATTTCTAATGCAATTTTATCGAAGGCGGCGGAAAATCAAACAGGATCTGTTTTTCTTTTTAGACGAAATATTTCCGGACTCTATGGGGCGACACTTATTCACCGATCCTCATTGCGGTTTTCTATCGGCGAACGCCACTAGTTATTTTGCCCGAGATTCAGAACACCTACAACGCGTGAGTAATGCTTCAGCGCACAGACGCGGAAAACGACGGAAAGATGAGCGACTACTGATCGACGTCAACAATTATCTTGTCGTGACCTATTCATCACCTGTAAAAGAAACGGGACTTTAATGCTATGCCAGGTTTTGACTTCTACTGCTACGCCACCTCGTGTAACAGTAACGAATGTGTATTTAGCGCCGAGAGACCCTCGAAGAGCCAAATTGAGTTGAGGAGTTGATTAATAGGGCGAAAGATTCAAATGTTTCGCGCCTGTAACATAGCGTCATCGTCGCGCGGCCTGGCTTGATTTGGCCAGCTTCATTTCTTGTGTGTTCATCTGTCCATCCTTCCCTCGTTAATTCACTCGTGGAGTGCAACATTAGATGCGTGCCTGTCTGGCGGTCGTTCGCGTACATCGCCTGAGGCTGCGTCTGCCCGAAACACCACAACTGCACATACAAATACACAGTGACGCCGCTGCTGTTGCAAATATCATTGTTTTTTTGGGGGGACAGGGCCGACGATGCTGATAATGATTGCAATGATGATTGTGGTTTTGATGGTGCTGATGCTGCCGGTGGCGCCATTGACGACATTGCTGAAGATGCAGACCCTGCCGCAACAGACAACGAAGGTAATCAACGCATGATGATTTTGATAGACAGCAACATCACAAATTTCGAATAGGGGTGAAACTGGTCGAGTAGCGTAGAGTGGAATAAAAAAAAACTACAGCGGACTGTTGCTTCATTATTATTATGATTGCACATGTAGCAGCAGAAAGGATGCAAAAACCACGAAACAGAGGGGGTAAGCTGTGAGGCTACAAATAATGGCGATTATTTATACGGTGCTGGTAATGGTTCCCGGCTGAATACCCTTTGCCGAACGAAAAAGGAATTGCTAAAAAGTAAATGAAGATTAACTTCAGGGGGTTTAGCCTACGCCCCTAACGAATGCAATGACGAGCAGTTGGTCTGAAAGAGCAAAGCAGATGAAAGACAGTATTTCGCTTGTTTTTTCTGGCAGCCGACATTAGCAGCGGCATAAGAGTGGACAAGCAGAGCCAGCAACCTCTGAACAGAGGACAGAAACACTCGGAACTCCCCACAAATAGAAGCAGTTGCCTAGAAGTACTTCGCTAATTAGATGACGGCTTGACAAAATCGAAGTTAAATGAGCGAGTATTATATAGCCGAAACGATTACAACCGTCGTCAGTGGAGGTGGATCTGAGTACGCTGAGCGAAGCAGTCGGATCGAAATTTCATCGCTATTTGATCATAAAACTTGGACACCTTATGTTACCCAAGAAGATATCATTTCAGGAGAGAAAGGATGTCAATTAGACCTGGGAAAAGTATGAATTAGATCTGTCTTCAAAATCATTTGTAGTATTTTATAGGTGCGCAGTCCGAGTCGACGAACTCGTGCGACGTTTTTGTTAGCGCGAAGAAGTAAATGCACAGGGCCAAGGGATGGCAAAAACAACAAGAAGTAGAAGTCTGATTAACCTATAGGTATCAGGTCAACTTGTCCTATTGTTTCGATAAGACGTTTGTAGCCGATCAAAATAATTAACTACCGCTAGCTATCTTGGCATCAAGTTGGGATCGTCTTTCGACGAACGGGTTAACGGGGTGATGCAGAGGAATGGTTTCTCGTGTAGCATCTAGGAGGTACGGAAAATGAGAGCTAGGATATGATCACTCAGCTGAATATAGAGATTTTTTTTGTTTGTAAGACCAGTTGCGCCACACAGCTTGCTATAATTGAAATCGAACGAAATGATAATATTCAGCGCCGAGGGTAACGAAATGGCCGGCAACCAAAGATCCGAGTCGTGAGCCGCTTAACTGATTCAAAAGATCAATCGGTAATTCGGGGGTTCAGAATCACAATGAGTGACAATGAGGATAGTCCCTGCAAGAAAAATTGCGCCGTCGTTTATCTTTACCGCAATATATAATTGACATTAACTGCCGCCACAGTATTCGCACATAAAATGGCCATGTTAGTACTACAAGAATCCCGTAAATGGGCTAAAGCCCAATACATAAATTAGCGTATGTGGTTATTGTCATTGTTATACCGTTTATTTTTATGGACATAATTTTATGGGCTTGAGTGACAGTCTAGGTGGCCGTCGTCCACGACAAAGTGCAGTAACAAACAACACTTAATAGTTTAAATACGAATCTCCTATCGTTCTAACAGAAGTCTCGATTGGATCGGATTGTTGTATAATGAATGTTTGTCTCGCAAAGGCTTTCCGATCGGCGTGTCACGCAAAGATTAATGAAAACTGAGTGAGGTTTTGTTCTCCGCCATAGCCAACCATCTACAAGTTTTACCTGGTTAAGTTAGGGAGACGCTGGATTTGATCATAAATAGTGCGGATTTTTGCAACGATAATAATCCTATAAGAGATACTATTGATGTTTGCGTATAATGATTGTGTGATATGTCGCACGTTCTTTTTGTTTGCAGCTCATCTACGCACGATCTGTCCAAGGAGACCTCAGGAGATTTTCCTGCGCGGAAAGCGCTCCGAAGATCCGCCACGGCCTCGGCAGCAGCTGTAACGGCGGCCATGGCTGCCGCCGCAACGGCTTCGCCTCCTGACCCTTCCAGGTAACACAAGAAACCGGTTTTTCACGGTTCTACATCTGCTGACCTCGATGGTAGCATTTGCTGTTTTTAGAGTGTCTCTATAGAACACTGACAGTTAATATCTTTGCCAACCTACTTTCAATGAAGCTGAGACATGCAAGCCGTGGTCTTAATGGAAACTTCCATAAAATAACGGCACAGTTGAAAGAACGCGTATTCAAATGCTGACTTTTTAGAGTTTTGTTTTTTATTTGGTCCAATAGATTCTATCTTCGAAGCGTCTGATGATCGGTGCATATTTATGCTGTACCTGTAGCAAGGAGAACTACGTCAATTTATTATAAGAGCCGTAAGCTCACTCAAAATATTATTTTTATATATAAATAGACTTGAAAAACTTATCCTGCGATGAACTCCTGTCTGCAAATTAATTTTTTATTTACTAGACCGAATAATCATTTCAGCCATGATAGTGCTGATTAATATACTAAGATTGTGTTTCCTTACGGAAAATCTGCGGCGCACTCAAAAAATTCACAGATTATCGACACCAAAAAGGTTTGGAAGTCAGAAGGGCGCATCGTAGATGCTATCCAATCTAACACACATATATATATATATATAAAGAACAATGCCGTCCTTGCGCGTTGGTCGTAAACCTTGGTCTCAAATTGTAGAATTTGTCAAATATACTTGGCCCAGTATTGGGATAAGTAATGTATCTGCATCTTAAACGGCTTTTCCTCAGCGTAAAGGTTTTGTCAGCATCTTCCTTTCGCCTATGATTTACATTTGTTCGATTCAGTTTTTCTTCTATTACTTATTGCTATCGGATGTCCTGTGGTCAGACCCTCCTAGCGGTTATTTTTTTGTTACGCAGGAGCATGTGTCCCAAAGCTAATCCTATGGGTCCGCCCCCACTGCATGCGCACGATGCTCTTACGAAGCGGCTGGAGCGTCATGGCGAAATATAGACGAGACGAAACCCACCAGTCGGCCTTTCGTTGTCAGCTGATAGTGCCCGCCAATCCAGTAGCTTTACGCTCCGTTACAGTCGCCGCTAAGGTCGACTGCGCAAGATTAGGACAGACGCATCTAACGCTGACAACGTTCAAAGTTGTCTTCTTCTTTATGGTGTGCGGCCCGAAGTAATTGGCATCGACTCGTACTCCGAATCGGAGCGGCCAGTAGTCGGCCACTTGAGAGAATAGACCGATGGACTCGCTTATCCACACGCGCTACCCGTGTCTGCCCTATTTATTATACTATATAAGACGACCACAAGCTGCGTGACAGCAACAAAGACGACCAAAAATCAAATCATTGACATTTGCTATCAAAACAAAAAAGGGAAGGGAAATAGATTCAGAGATAAAAGCCAGAAGAACCTAGTTGTATAAAAACCGTAAATACAAGTGGGCGCGAGCAAAGGAAAGAGGACGGTGAAAGAAAAAGTTACAAGAAATTATTTAAAGACAGTTACGACGTTTACGATGGATTTGTCAAAACGATGCCACTTCGATGATGCCAGTCGCCTTTGCAACCACGATTCTAGCTTCCTTTGAAACAAACAAACCGAGAACGATGGTTGCTAGAATAAGACGAATTCATGTTTCCGAAGTGACTGTCGAAGAAGATCTGAATTCAGCCGTGACAGCTGAACGGTGTCTAACCTGACAAGCAGTTTAGAAATAGGAAGGACACCTGAACGAAACGCACAATAGTACACCATCTTTGCCGCTAGCGTCACAATCATCAAAGCTCATCCTGATTTCCACGATCCTGCGTCGACTGATAGCCGACAGCGAATCATAGACTCGGTGGCGGCTCGTGTTGCCAACGCTACGGATGCGCGAATTCATCCAACTGCTTGTCCAGCTTATCGTCTTTCATTTTTCGCTTGAGTTTCTTCTTTTTCATTCGATGCGGCTTCTCTCGATCTCGATTTTCTTCCTTTTCGACTTTATTCTATTCTGTTATCTCTTTCATTATCTAGAAGGTTGCACGTAGCTGTATTATTTGAGCTTGCCGGGTCGACAAGGGCAAAGTATACAAAAGGACGACCGCGAAGGGAGTAACCGTTGCAACGGTCACAGAGCTGAGCCAAATGGGCTAGCAGAACCTAATACAGCCGCACCGCACGGTACACGCTCATCTCGAAGAGAGCTTGTAAGTGTGTGATACGAAGCAACATACGTATTTTCGTATTGGTATGCTTTTTTTTTTTTAGCATCTTTTTCTTTGCTAATCAGTTACGAAATATGTTTTCGGCGAGCTGATGACAACGAAAATCGAAGACAAGGCCGATCGAATAGCAGTGGGTTCATTATACGAGCCAAAGGAAAAGGCACAAAAAAAGGATCTGCGTAGGGTAAATCAGGAGTGGGAGGAGGCAAAGCGACGTTAGCTTTGGCGGAAATCAGCAACAGACGCGACAGCGACAGCAACGGCGATCCCCTCTGCTAGGACAACAACAGAGCAGCTGAGCGAACTGATCGGGGGCGACCGTAATCCGTCAAACCGAGTGATCGCTAGGGATTATTGACGTGGTGGTATCATGGCAGTTTTTTGGCTACAGTAATTAAATAATCGTGATTAATTGCTCCTAATATCATATTAGAAGCATAGGCAAAAGGTGAGAGAACGTTCTAGGTAAAAAAGATTTCTGTCTATTGATTCAGCCGTTGTCATTATTAACTAGTTGGACCCTTGCTCTCATTCCCGTAGGGTTTAGTCATATCAGATCCATTGCTACACTCGAAATTCCTCTATATATTTTACAAGACTCTTCCATAGAAAGATGTGTGTGATTATAAATTTAATATTCAGATATGTACATGTGTAGAGGGTTGCATAGTTCAGTGTAGTGGCACGGTGACTCGTATGATTTAGACTCTAGCTCAAGAAGGCCATGAACTGCGGCCTTAGACCCACCCGTGTCAGAACACAGATATTCATTCAGATTGAGGTCTGCCGTTGGGGTGCTGGTGGCAGTTAGTTCTGGACACGCGCGAAGCAGGTGTCGTCACAAATGAGGCTCAAGAAATCAATAGCGAAGTACAGCAAACAGAAAATAAATAAAGCCGACAGGTTTTTTGTGAGGGCTGAACCCGTTCAGCCCCGATACCCTTGGAATGGTTGATAAAGCTGGCGGCACGACGAAAGCCAACAGCTGAAATGAAAAATTCAAGCGATATAACTGAGCATTAACTGAAAATCAAAAAATGAGTTTGGCGCCTCGCCCCTTTTGTGCTAAAGATGCTAGAGTCCATTATCTTTGACAACCGAAACCTTCCGCAGCTCGAGACCACAGGTCCGAATGGCCTTAAGGCTCTTGTCAATGCACTCCCACTATAGATGTATACGGGTTACGAAATAAATCTAGATGTCTGTTATAGATAAATACCTCTAAATCTCCGCACCTTCTCACTTTATTTCAAATATAAATAACTGATCTTATTCGCATAAACTGGACCTGAATACAGATCTATATTCATTAACACCTGAAGAGATCTGCTTGAAATTAGAATACGAAGGCTTATTGAAAGCCACCAACTGCTAAAGGAGACGCGTACATTGTAACCCCATGCAAACCCGCTACTCCGTTAAGAGAGCTTAACGTGATAAGTGCTCTAAATCGATATTTCGGGCTGCGGTTTAGTTCGTTGTAATACTGTAATAAAGTAATAATGATTAAAAACGATACGGTATTTACAAAAACTAATCAGTATAATTTCCCAGTAGTCGTGGCGCGGTAGAAGAGACGCCACGCCCGTCAGATACTGAATTTCCAAATCAAAATCAGTACATTAATTATAGTCGATTGAACTCTTCGTTTCATCAGGATGTAAATCATGACAACAGCTACGCGTGACATACTTGAAATTGGTTTCACCCATCTGATGTGAGGGCATTGGCGTTGGAAGATGTTAACTCCCAATGGCAAATAACTACAATTATAGACCCCAGTAACTCGTTACTTATATCCTTTGTCTTTTTATCGCGAATACTTTTTTTTCGTCTCGCCTCTTTCTATCCGTGTAGGCAATAAGTTTATCGGTCGACCGACTATGTATATAATTGTAATAAAAAAAATAAGCTGTTTTGATAAATGCACGTTTACATTCGTATAACTCACAGTGAATAGCTATGAAGCGTCTGCTCCTGGCAGTGAACGACACAGCAAAGGTGGTGGTGGTGGTGGTGGTCTGTCCTATTTTGGTGGCACCGGCGGAATGGCTGGCCACACGGCCGAAAACGTGAAAGAGCTCCCTAAACGCTTGGCTGATCTGAGGTCACCCCCATGGAGGTTTGAAGGGTATGAAGGCACGAGAATGTTCATCAGACTAGGTCGTGGGGCTAGCTTGTGACCTAGGTTTGGTTCGATTTCGAGGTCAGTGCACGGGAGACGCTTCAAGATAAAACTTGTGAACGCTTTTCTCTAGAGGAGATTGGCTTATTTGAATCATTTCCTTGAAGCTGGCAAGGTACTTAATGAGCTCGTGAGTATAAACGGTCTCTGACGGAGGTGCTGCGTGTGAAATTACAGATCAGAGTGTTCTTGGGACGTATTCGGAAAACCGTGAGATTAGCACTTCCTGGAAGTGTTCTTACCGCGCTGTAGGTAGGCTCCTATGCCTGAGTTCATCTGAGTGGTGCAAAACATACTAGAGGGGTCTAGTTCTTGCTGGCCGGAAGGTCCTGAGTGAATTGTGCTCGCTCTGCATTATGTGGGTATCGTTCAGCTCGACCACAGGAGTGCAACTTGAACCGTTGGTCAGCATACCAGCTCGATCATCAGAGTCCACCACTAGATCTTTACAATGATGCCAACCTTCTGGTAAGCTACCGGTAGGCATCCGTGATAACTTAGTAAACAGCGTATTAGCCTGCTAATCCTAGGGACACGTTGTGGCCTAGCTTCGAGCCCGGGCATAGACAGACTTCGCTTCGTGCTGGGAGCCAGTCGTCTGATGGAATGCCTGACGGCGATACCGGACGTAAAACTCGAAACATTGAGT